CCTCTACTCTTTTTTATTGATATAATGTCAATTTTAATAAAAAATCCAACCAGTTTCCCCGATTTCTCTCTATAACATTTTAGTATTTGTGTAATTTTTTGAGCGTCTTGGCAAGTAACCTGGCAATTTAAAATTCTATTGGGAAAGCATTCTTTTGGAATTAAATAAAGAATGAGATATCGCGTTATACGACTTACAGGCGACAGCTTCGCACGCCACATTTCGAATCTCAATGAAAGTTGCACGAAATGTCAAATGTTCAAGAATGCATACATCACGCATTACGCATCACCACCGTATATCGTATTTTTTTTTTTCTACACGCATGTAAATTATCAGCGTCGCACGTGCCGATAAAAATCACGACACGCTACATCCGTCATTCACGACAACCTCGCATAGTCTTGGATATTTGCACGCAATAAAGCCTTCGTGCTCTCGGTTAACGTGTGATTTATCGAATAAAACCCCGCGCGTGCTTCTTTTCACGAAACGGGCGAAATGCATCGACCGCGAATAATCTATTGTAAGCACGCTTATCTGCTTAACTCGGCTTTATTTTTGTACGAACTTTGTCGCGTAATTATAATGTTGCAATCCGTATGTAGTATAGTATATTGGCAAACAGAGGAAGAGAGAGAGAAAGAGTAAGAGAGAGATATATATCACACATTGGCCTCTCGATGTATTAATAGCTAAGAGATTGTGTAAATTGCACGTCAAAAATTGCGATTGACCAATCTAACATCGCTGCTATCGCATAAATCGTATCCTTGAATATGATTTATTAATTTTGCAATATGTATAAATAATGATGTAAACAATACCGCAATATACTTAGCATAAACAATTGATTATTAAAAATTTTAAATTATTAATTTAAAATATTTGGAATAATAAACAGTCAATAAAAATCTGTGACTATAATAATAGTTACATTTTTAAAATTGCAAACAAAACTGTAAATAATTAATAATATAATATAATATAATATAATATAATATAATATAATCTACTCTAGTATCAAAGATAAAATTTGCGATTTATATCAAATTAGCTATGTTGACAAGAAGTTATTCCGGTTCATGAATCAGTAAAGAAGAGTTAGATTTTTCCTGCTCATTTTTATTTGGATATATTATCCCTAATGTATCCTCTTTAAATTGCATTCTTTATTTTAATTTCTTAAAAACGGCAATTAAATATAAATGAAATCATAAAGGTAATTTATCTTATTTACTCAGATATGCTTATAAAAAAGAATAAAAATATTTCGCACTTATAAATTTAATTTGAAAATGGCGAGAATATAGAAATGCTACATTAATATAAAAATTAATCAGTATATAATATTAAAAAATAATATTTCATATTTTATAAGTAATTTCCGAGAGAAATATCTTTGTAGATCGACGAGTGCGATTTATTATAATGAGAATAGTGAAAAGTGTTAGTTGAAATACAAATGAAACGTGTGAATTGCATCTTTCAAAGATCTTTCAAGGACTACTTTTTTTATAAAAAGATCCGTCTCGCTATTTAGTATAAAGACACGAAGTAGGAAAGGAGACCAATGACATTATTCAGCGATCGATTTAATGATATCACCGGTCTTTGAGGGTCTACTATGTTGCAGACGGAGCAGGTCTTTTTATTAACAACGCTTTGTCGACGCTTTACCGATCCCAACGATTCTCTTTCCAGTCATTTTTCCTATCATGCGGACTTAATAATAGCTTACATTTCTACTGTATATGCATCGAAAATATTCTTTTCTCGATTCAAATACATATAAAGTATCGAGAAATATGGCGCCCGATAATAAGTATTTGAAAGTGAACTACTTAAAACTGTACAGCTATAAATAATATTGAAATACATAATACGTTTTTTATGGGCATTCGTGTCGCACGATTTTGCACTTGCTGTAACTTAAACAATTTTAATATCGAGAACTCTCAGTACATTTAGGTCGATTAGTATCAATTTCTCATTGCTTCGCGTACGCGTAAATTTGTTTTGCACAAACATTTTATTAATTTATTATTTTACTAAATTTAAATTATTTTTAGGTGCAAATAAAACATGTTTTTTTCTAGTTATACAATTGACTGTCGTCTACTCTACTTGATTTAAATATGCTCTACCTAAAATAATCTTTAAAAATATCAATCGAACCGACTGATGTCGTTCAACGAGATACTTCTCACGTGAGTTATCCCATTCATTAAATCTCGCGTTGTCGCGAACGAGTGGAGCTCGGAAGGGTGGTTTCCAGTCGAGCGATCTCTTAGATAGCGCGCAAGACATCCCCCGAGAGGAAAATACAGAACTGACGTGTAAGAGAGAGCGAAAGACGTGTAAGAGAGAACGAAAGAGGGCCAACTCGCGCTCGCGAATATCGCCTATTGTTTTCCCACGACAATAGTATGCGAAACGGAGATGAAGACAGCATCCGTTGCACTTTCAGATCTCGATCATTAAATTAAGCAGTATTGTACGCGTTCAAAAATGAAGGTGCTGCAAATTTTCGTTTCGCTCGCTCGCTTTTTTCTGAAAGAATGAGGATCGATAGGCTGGAGTAACCCTTTGATCCAAATCAAATATATTCTTGCTGTTTAGAGAGTAAATTGTGAAAAAAGCGCGGTCAGCTCAGAGATGAAAGCACATTTCCCCCGTGCTCCAAGTTAAATTCGGCTGACGGCAAATAATGTTGCTTTAAGTCAGAGATATCGCGACGTACGCCAGCTATTTTTCCATTTGCCATGCCATAAATTAATATATTTATTAGTGGACGCAAAGGGATCCGCGATAAAATTGGCAAAAAATACGAGATAATAACACGTGCTTTCCGCGCCAGTTACTTGAAGCTGCGTAGGTGTGGAGTGCAGGCGACATTTTTCTTATTATTCTTTCGTTTTCTTTGATAAAAGACAGCCGAAAAAAATACGATGCAATTACATATAATACAGATATACATAAATATATAGGGAATTCGATAGAAACATTTTTCAGTTTTTTATATATGTTAATTCAAATTTGCAAACAAAAATTATTTTCGTTGGCGCAAAAATTTTACTTTTATATAATACCTTCATGCTACAAATTTATCGTTAGTATTCATTAACACTCACTAACGATAATTTTATATTAGAATTTGAATTGAAAAATGTTTCTATCGAATTCCCTATATATTTATGTATATCTGTATTATATGTAATTGCATCGTATTTTTTTTTCGGCTGTCGGTTTTCGGCTTTTATCAAAGAAAACGAAAGAATAATAAGAAAAATGTCGCCTGCACTCCACACCTACGCAGCTTCAAGTAACTGGCGCGGAAAGCACGTGTATAGATTTATGCAATGATTGTCCTGATTGCATTTTCTATATAGATATTCGAGACTACATCACTTGATGCTTTCAATTAATTAGGAGAAAAAAAATAAAATTCGGAGCCTATGCTTTCAGTTGTTTACGCTTCGACAGTTTCTAAATCAATTGCTATTGGAAAAAAGGTGATCGACCTCAAGCGCTGATAGACAACAGTAATTTCGTTGCGATGTATCAAGAGAGGGACCACTGGAATTGCCGTCGACCCCAAGCGATGATTCAGGAGCAAAAGATGACGACGATAAAATTATTATTGTGCAAAATTAAGCTAAATATGCTTGACTTTCCTCGATATAAGTAAAGTAAAGATGAAGATAGAATGTAGAATAGAATGTAGAATAAATATTAACATAAAATAAACTTTTTAAAATTAAATATTAATACAATATAAAACATTTCGACATTAATTCGCAATTTTAATTTTAGATGATAGATTCCAATCAACTGGCTGTATAATTTACGTAAAATCAACTGGTTGCACAGTTTACGTAAAATGTCTGACTATGCCTTTGACTATTTGTATTTCCTATTCCATAAAACTTTCTCAACTGCTTTAAGCAATCTGGAGTTAATCTTTTCTTTAACAAAAGTTCAAAAAGATATAACTAATTTTTTAAGCTTGATTATTATTTGTTCATTAGATGTCTTTGTAACTCAATTTGATTTCTCAATGAGTAATTTAGTTAGTAAAACTATCGAGTTAAATACGCCGTTGAAGTTCCGGAAATCAATACGTCGTATTGCCGCAAATGGTACCCCGCCAACGATCGCATAATTCATTCGATTATGTCGTCAATAAAGGGGCCAATCAACCTCAGGGAGACTCAATGAACATCCGACAATCACTTCCTAAGCGGCTTAGTCTTAATAATTACTTGCGTTTACTAAGTCTAAATACATCTATTCAGAAAGGATCTCCAGAAAAAGGAATTATTTCTTACTTTTGCTCTTAATAAATGAGAGATAAAATGAAATACGTTTATTCCAAACAAAATGCTAATTTTATATATATATATATATATATATATATATATATATATATATATATATATAGT